ATTTTGTTGGCAACATCCAAAGCATCATAGTCAGGAGCCAGCCGAACATATGCCTTCTTCTCTCCATCAGACCTGATCAGGGTGTTGACCTTGACCACGTCAATGTCATAGAGCTTCTTCACAGCCTGTTTGATCTGGTGCTTGTTGGCCTTGACATCCATAATGAACACAAGTGTGTTGTTGTCTTCTATCTTCTTCATGGCTGACTCGGTAGTTAGGGGGAACTTGATAATGGCATAGTGGTCAAGCTTGTTTCTTCTGGGGGCGCTCTTCTGAGGATATTTAGGCTGCCTTCGGAGCTGCAGCGTCTTGGGCCTTCGGAAGGTGGGTGACATGCGGATCTTCTTTTTTTGTGTGGCTGTGGACGCCTTTTAGGACTGCTTTCTTTGCCTTCAAAGCTTTTGCTTTGGCTTCGGCTTTCGGAGGGGCAGGGGCTTCCTTCGCTTTCGGTGCCATCTTCGTGAAAAGCTGTTGTTACTTTCTTAATAGCTTCATTGAGGTAAAATTCACATGCTTTAGAGCTCACCCTGTGAAAGTGTACAATTTAGTGTTTTTTTAGGGTATTCACAGAGTGGTGCCACCACCACTGCTATTGAATCCTGGAATCTTTCTAAAGAAGCTCTGTAGCCATTATTGACCATCCCTCACCCCCCTTCTCCCAGTGCCTGGCAGCCGCCAGCCTGCTTTCTGTCTTTACGGAGTTGCCTGTCCTGGACATTGTGTGTCAGTGGAGTTAGACACGGTGTGGCCTTCTGTGAATGACTTCTCACCCAGCATAGTGCTTTCAAGGCCCGTTCTGTGGTAGTGTGTGTCAGCATTTACTCCTTTAAGGGTTAAATAATACTCCACTGTTTGGACACACCACGTTTTGTTGATCCATTCGTCAGCTAATGGACATTTGGATGGTTTCCACTTTTTGGCTATTTTGAATAATGCTAATTTGAACTTTCGTGTATAAGTTCCATAGTTTTTTTTCAAACTGTTTTTAATATATAAAGAGTATTTACAAATCAGTGAGAAAAATGTGAATTAACTCCACAATCAGATGGACAAAATACTATGTGAATGGATAAATCACAAAGAAGAATAGCAAATTTGTTTAATGAAAGTATCAATCGCTATATAGTCTTGAAGAGTATGTTCTCTGAAAGATTACTATTTTATAAATATGTGAAAGAATGTTACTTGTTAACAGAAGAGAAATTTTGATTGGTTAAAGCAGGTTAAAGAATGATTTCCGAGGAGTAAAAGTGTTACAGGTAAAATTTTCTGAGGCTCTTATGCCCTGATCATGGGCTCTAAAGGAGAGTGTGTTTATGTCTTTTTATAACTCCCGACTGTTATGTGCGCGCGCACTGCAGCCGTGTGCGTGTGTGTGTGGTGTTTAGTCTGCACATTGAGCTTTTTTTTTGTCTAGGAAGTACAGAATACTTTAAATATTATATGTTCAGAGAGCTGAAGATACCTTGCTGAGATGTGAAGTTGGAACTCTGTTTTGTGATTCCTGTGGGTGTCATTCGTTTTTATTGTCTTTATCCTTTGTATTTATTGGTAGCTTTGAGAATTGACTTTATTTTCAGAACTATTATATTGTATCTTTTTCCGTGGGAGGAAATGAATATTGGCCACAGGTGGTTCTCGTTTTTTTTTAGCATGAGCCATGTGCACGGCAGCCTTTGAAGCTTGAATGCTGTGTGACACGCAGGTGCTTTCACTGTTTATAGAACTCCCTAATCCTGTTTGAGATTTAGTAAACGGTATGGCAGCGTGGCGTGCCATCTGTGTGCCTCCCGACTTTCCATGGTGTATCAGCCTCTACAGCAGCGGTTCTCAACCTTCCTAACGCCGCGACCCCTTAATACAGTTCCTCATGTGGTGACCCCCAACCATAAAATTATTTTCGTTGCTACTCTATAACTGTAATTTTGCTACTGTTATGAATCGTAATGTAAATATCTTTTTGTTTTCTGATGGTCTTAGGCGACCCCTGTGAAAGGGTCGTTCGACCTCCAAAGGGGTCGTGACCCACAGGTTGAGAACCGCTGCTCTACAGGGAGACCGCCTTTTCTCTAGTCTCAGGGTAAACTCGTGCCCGGGGCTCCCCGTGATGGGTTTGTCCAAGTGCCCCATGCGCTTTATCACCCAGTGTGCAGTGTTAGTCATGGACACAGCACTGGCGTGACGGCGACACCTGAGCGGAGCCTGCATGAAGCAAAGAGGCGTTTCCAGGGATAGGCCTGACACTGGCGAGTGATCGGTCCCTCATGGCTTTGCTCTGCTGCATGTGCGTGTGTGTGTGTGTGTGTGTGTGTGTGTGTGTACATGTGCATATATGCACGTGCATGTGCATGTGTGTGCATGTGTTTTGTGCTTGTGTGTGTATGCATGTGCATGTGTGCGTGCCTGTGTACCATTATTGAAGAGTGGGATAGTTACCCCACAGGGAAATTTTATAGATGATGGTTATGTAAGTCAACATTCTTCTAGTGTTTCTATTAGAAAAGGATAAAAAAGGAAAAACGCCTTTTTCTGCCCCTCGTGTAATGTTTCTTTTCCTCGTGGGTTCTGATTGAAAGGTTGTCAACAGTGATTGGTGCTGAGGGATCTCTTGGTTGGCTTGGGCATCCCTCTGTTCCTGAGATGTGTAGTATGGGTGGGAGTGTTGTGGTTCTAAAAGAAATCAATATTTGTTTAATTTTATTTACTGGTCTCATTAAGAGGATTGAACGCCGCACAGTAGAATGTTTTATTCTTTAAAGTCCGTTACAAAACTTAGGAGTCAATAATTCAGTCATCTGTATAGTTACAATAATCAATTTAATATTATCTGGTGCTTTTCATGGATTTAATTTTGCAGCCTCTCACTTTCGCCCAAATAAATTAGACTAATGCTGTAACAAACAGGTTCTATAACTTAGTTTAGAAAACATGACGAAACTAATTTTGCTCAGTAAGTTTCAACTAGGGTAGATCTTGTGGGTAGTAAACAAAAAAGTAGGATTACTTGGTTTTGGTCTAAAATCTAGGTGGAGAGAGAGAGTTACCATTCATGAAACAGTCGAGACCACGAGTGTTCAGGGTTATCTCTCACATTATAAGGGCCTAGGGCATTCCCAGGAAACCAAGACTCCGAGCGGTTTAGCAGAGTTAGAGCTGGGGGGGGTCCTTAGACCTAAGTTTGTGGAGGAGACAGCATTCCAGACTGGAATGAATGGCGTGAATGAAGAAACAGGCTAGGCCTGTGTGACCGTCAGATCAGGCTGTGGTTTGCGTAGTTGTGGAGTTGGGGCAGGAGGTTTGGTTGAGTAGGGGCGGTCACGTGAGGGAGGCCGTGTGAGCCCAGGTGGTTGCTAGGACTCAGGACTAGCCTGTTTCACAGCAGAGGAGCATCATAAAAATGATTTTTGAGGAAAGTTTTCTTAGAAACGGTGGCCAGGAAGAGCCTGGTGATGGGTGATATCGTCAGGCGGCTGTGGCAGTGGCCCCGGGCTGAGTTAACGCGAGTCTGGACAGGAGGGGCCGCGGGGACACAGATGAGGAACGCCAAGATACACCTTCCCTGGTCAGCGTGTCCTCAGTCCACACCTAGTGAGTAAACGAGAGGGTGGGAGAGGGAGTAAATGCGGAGTGAAAGGAAAGTAAGTTAACGGTCACGGGAGACACGTGCCATCGATAGGAGATGGGCAGATAGAAAATCTGGGCCGAGGGAGACACGAGTCCGTTTGCAGGCAGTGAACTTGACATGACGGTGACGTTCCAGTACAGGCGGCCTTACGAGTGGCTGGGCGTGTGCTTCCGGAAAGCTTGTCAGGGCCTGAGATGCCATCCAGGTGTCCAGATCCATAACATCGCTTCGTCAGGCACTGCCTGAGCCTCTGCAGGGAAACTGGAGACAGCACACCAGCCTTAGAAAGCACTGGAAGGAATCGGCTACTGTCAGAAGGCCTCGTTTAATCATTTAATTGTAATGCACTTTGGGTAATAGTTTGCAAAACCTGTTTCAAAGCAATGTGTTTAAAAATAGCCGTGAAGGCGAGACCCTGCTGACGATTGTGACCCCCCTAGATGGCTGTGCTAAGGAGACAGCAGCGGATGATCAAGAACCGGGAGTCGGCCTGTCAGTCTCGCAGGAAGAAGAAGGAGTACATGCTGGGGCTGGAGGCCCGGCTCAAGGCCGCCCTCTCGGAGAACGAGCGGCTGCGGGAGGAGAATGGGTCGCTGAAGCGGCAGCTGGACGCGGTTGTGTCGGAGGTGAGTGCTGCTCGCCGGCGGGTGTCGGGCGGCCCAGTTCCTTCTCTGCGAGTCGGCGGGGATGTGACAGCTCAGGTTCGGCTGTGTGAAGCCCGGGTGCTGGGGCGGAGGGCACGCTGAGCTCTGTGCCCACAGGCAGCCCCTCCCTGCCCGCCTCGCCCCTCTTGCTCAGCTCAGCAGCCATCTTAGAAAGAAACCGTGCAAGCAGATTGAATTCTTTCTCCCCCGGCGTCCGCTCTGCTTCCTGCCGTTGGTTGCCATGCTGGCCCGTGAGGCTGAGGCCGATCCCCCGAGTCCTGCTCGTGGAGTGTGTGTCCTTTGGGACCCTGGCAGTGGGGGCTCTCGTGTCTCTGCAAACAGTGGTCTAAGGGACAGGCCGCACACCACAGAGGCATCTCAGAAGGTCCTGAGCACCCCTAAGAATGTGAAATAGTTGAACTCCTTCCTTTTGGGTGAAGAGGCAGCTGTGTTTCTTCTCCCCTTTTCTCTGTGTGCCACGAAGGGAGCTTGGCAGGCTCTCTGTCCTCTTTGGAAAGGACTGTCTCCTGACTGGACCTGGGCTTGGTGAAGCCCTCCCAGGACGGCGAGGGGCGCGTTCCTGTCTCAGGCGCTGCCCTTGGTGAGGTTGAGGTTTCATTGCTTTTCATGTCGTTGTTCCCTCTAGAACCACAGGCTGAAAGTTCCCAGTCCGAAGCGCAGAGCCATCTGTGTGATGATACTGTTGGCGTTTATCATACTCAACTGTGGACCCATGAGGTGAGTGAGTCGATGCTTATGTCGATACTAATGCGAAGACTTTAAATTCTCGTTAGTGTTCTAGCTCTGGGCATAAGGAGCTAGAGGGAAGCAGTCTTGTTTTGTGCTTCTCAGAGGTGAGAGGGGGAACAAAGATCGGCTCCTCTTCCATGTTCTTCAGCCAGATCTGCGGGAGTCCATGCTTCTCAGTGCAGGAGCTTCCGTCACAAAACAGGTCCCTGCTGGGGTTCCAGGGCCTGGAGTTCACATCCCAGCTCCCCACTGAGGCGACTTGCTGTCTCAGGCACGTAACTTAACGCCTGCGTCGCAGCTGCTTGCCTTTCACGTGGGTGTGCGACACACTCCCACCTCAGGCTGTGGCACCGAGCACTAGGACAGTGAGGCATCAGGCATCTTCTTCCCCAGCTGGAAAGGAGCTGCACCTGCAATTGTCCGTTTCTGATGCAGAAGGTTCGTAGAGACAGTCAAGAATCTTGGTATCTGTGAACGTTCCCATTGATTCTGCTGCAGGTTTTTGGCTAATCCCACCTAGAGGGAGGGGACACTGCTTAGGGAGAGTCATCGAATACTAGAACTCAGAGGGGTCTCCGAGGTCCTCTTTCAGGTTCCCACTCTCGATGGCACAGGCAGCACACGGACACATCAGTGTCCTAGACACTGTGTCACAGGGGCCGTGACCACTGGGAGGGGAGCCATGTGCAAGGACGGGTGTGCTGTGAGGATGAGCCAAGCACTTAAAGGACATGAATGACTACATGTCACGTCCTCCAGGAGAAGGTTCGTCACGCTGACGGAGGCTCAGCCACTTCTGTTGAGTGGCAGCGTGATACGGGGAGCGCCCCCAGTGGAAGCTGAACCTCGGAGTAGGATAACGGTTTGCCAGGTGGAGAGCACGGGAGACGCACACCGGCGGAGGCCACAGCGTGCTGAAGGCACAGGGCTGCCGTGGCCTGACTGCCAGCCAACAGTGACAACTCCGGCGTCTGGTGCGTGAGAAACACGTGGCTGGAGGTGTCAGTGAGGCCAGGCAGTGCGGGCCTCGTGTCTGCTGTGGGTTCCCAGGCGGAGGCCGACACAGTCAGCTCTGTGTGTTTGGAAGGTGGCTCTGAGGGAGGCCTTGAGCATGGCCTGATTGACGAGAAGTTTCTGGCAGGGTCTCCACATTCGTCATTCCCATGGCTGGATGCACCCCCCAGAAATCCCCCCGTCAAGAGCTTGCTTGCAGGCTCCTCAGTGAGGCTGTCCCCGATCACCTTCTCGAAATTGCTCCCTCCCCCCGTTTCCTCCTGACACTTCTCCCGCAGCACCTTTCACCTTCTGCTCTACTGTGTAATTTACTTGTTTATTTTATTTAATTTCTTTCCCTGCAGAAATTTTTATCTGTTTGGTTTTCACTGCTTAGAACAGTGCCTGGCACATAGTAGCCACTCAGTAGTTATTTGTGCTCTGAATGAAAGCCGTTTCCCCCTAATTCTCAGTAAGCTGCTTCTTTATGTCTTTAGCTCATTGCGTTCACCTTTTAGAAGATCGCTTTGCAGCCTTGACCAAGCGCTTTCCGTTAGTTTAAGTGGCCCTGTTTTGGTGGTGCCACTGGGCTTTCCAGCAGAAGCAAACCCTTCTCAGAGGAAGGCCCTTCAAACACTTGCCCTGAGAACATGGTCACGGGGAGTTCCCGATGAACACGAGCCCGTCCCGTCTCCTCCCAAATCATTAAACGCACCAGGAGACAAGCCACCATGGACTGGAGTTAGAGGGTCAGACTCTGAAAGACCACAGATGTTTGAAATAACAGATACAAAATGTAAAATAAAAATGTTAAATAAAAAGGGAATTAATGACAAAGGAACAAAGGGTTATCAGAATTGATCAGGACATTTTGAAAAAAATCTGGAAATGTGATCGTTAATCGTTAAAATTAGAAAAACAGTGCCCAGGGTAAAACAACAAAATAGGCACATTTGAAGAAAGACAGAGAGAATGTGAAGATGGGTCTGAAGAAATTGTGCTGAATGTGACACAGAGACAAAGAAATGGAAACTTGAGAGATACCAAGAGATGTGAGCTTACGTCAGAGTGACACCCCCAGTCAGCACACTGACGCCTGTGCCTTCTGATGGGTGTGCCGAGGGGCGCGGGATCATGTACGCCACGTGCGTGACCTGAATCTTATGAAGAACCCAGAGTGGGGGCATTCTACAAAATAAGGACCCTGCAAATCTTAGATAGAAGGAAAATAACCTCAAAAGAAGGGTGGAGATGCAGAAATGAATGGCCAACAACAAAAACAACAAAAGTAACCAGTGTGGCTGAAGTTTGGACAAAGTTGCTGAGAGCAGCGCTGAGCTGCCTGGGCTGTGTGGCTAAGGCACCCCGATGGGGGTGATTTCTGGACGGTGGTGTCTGGCAGACGGGAGGCATGCGATCGGCGTTAATGCACTCAGTTGCTACTGTTTTGGGGAAGTAGGTAAAAATATTTTAAATTACATCGGCATTTAGAAAAATTGAGTAACCCCTAATAAAATATAATTAGAGCATATCATTTCCAAATCTAGTAGAAGAAAAATAATGGGATGAGGTGGACAGACTCAGTCCAAAAGAAGGCATGAAAAGGGAGGGAAAGAAATTGCCCGATTACGAAAGCACAAAATACGACAGCAGAAATGAACCTGGATGTTACTCGTAATTGCGATAAGTGAAAACGGACAGAACGCTGCTCTCAGAGGGCAGAGGCTGTTAGCCAGCAGGGCGGAAAAGCAGAATTCACCTTTATGGTGTTTACAAGAGAAACTCAAAACGTATAAAGCTACGGAAAAGCTGAAAGTCTAAAGATGGGAAAAGCAAACTGGCCAAAAGAAAGCTGGAGCTGCTTTATCAGACAAACATGCTGTAAGGAGAAAAGCATCGTTAGACATAGTCACTACACAGTGATTAAAAAGTGTAGTTTACCAGGAAGAGACAATCATTCTAAGTTAGCATGTACCTAATAATATAGCTTGGAAACAGTAGCTGACAGAAGTACGCTGCCATCGTGGGAGATTTGAGTGTACCTCTGTCTCCATAGGCCACATAGACAAGAAAATCTGCAAGGCTATTGGAGGTTTGCAAATTAGCATTATGAAATTTGATGTAATGGCCATGTAAATAAGCACTGCATTTATCAGTGCATAGAGTTTTAGAACCATGTATGAAAATGTTAAAAAATTAGTCTGTTCTATGTCCTGAAAGGTGTTACCAAACCTCACAGACTAATAGACACCAGTCATGGTCCGTGCAGGTGAGCTAGAGACCTGCAGCACACGGTGATGGCTAGTTGCTGTCTGACTGAAACGAAAAAGCACAGTGTAAATAACCCATAGATCAAAGAGGAAATCACAGTGAAATTGTTCCTGAACGGTGCTAAAAATGCTGTTTATACAACTCACAGGAAGTACCATGTTGTGTGGGAAAAGCAAACTGTAGAATAGCTTACAGTGTGATCACATTTATTCCAGGGTCAAGCCAGAGCTGTGCAGTGTGGGTGTGTGTGTAGGTGGGGGAGCTGTAAGCAGAGCAAGGGGACCGTCATCGCAGAACCCAGAAGTGCGTTAGCAAGTGCAGCTCAGCCCCGGCTCAGTGCTCCTCCTGTGTGCACATCACAGCGTTTACTGGCGGTTTGCTGGGGAGTCTATGCTCACCCTGTAGGCTCTTGTGTGTTTTTAAGACTAGAAGGCCCGCCTTATTCCTTCGTTTACGTCCCCAGCCGCTAGCACAGTGTGTGTAGCTGTACATGTGGACAGTCAGAGTGTTGCCACGAGCTGCGAAGAAAGAAGGGCTTTGTCGGGCTGACCAGGGAGCAGAGCATCGAGGCAGAGGGAGGACTGGAGACAGGTGTTTACAGGGTGGAAGAGGGTGCTTGGAGGTCACAATTCCTATAATAGCTCCCAGACCTTCAGGGAGTTTGAGATGACCTACCTGTGTATGACCCTACACCCATCAGGCCCACTGGCACATACCGTGATCCAGGTGTATTGGTGTAGAGTTGTTTTGTGGCTTCACACTGTTGTGACTTGTGGTGGCATGCTTCTAATTATAGAGGCACAGGGACTTCTGTCTTCTTGATATTTATTTTAAAGTACTGACTAGAACCGGATGTAAGCTGATCATGAGAAGCGTTTGATTAGATGGCCTTGTTTACATTAGGGACTGTGATCACTCAAGTGTGCGGTCAGCACCCTCCCCTCCCTGTGACTCTGAGTCCTCACTTTTCATCACTGGACATCAAATGAGGCAGAAACGCTCAGGCTGAGTCTTAACGGTTCACGTCAGCAGTAACTTTCCCACAGTCCTTCATAAATTTGTCCATTACAAGGCTTGTCAAATTCCTTTCTTAGGATTTGTGGTGTCACAGTTGTGCTAAGACAATCTTGAATTCTGGCAGTGAAATAAAGTTGCTTTGTCTTTCAAATATTAAAAAACAAGGGAAATATAAATCTGCTGTTATTCAGATGCTTAAAATTAGTTTGTGTAGGCCATTTTGTAGGGTTCAAGCATTTATAGTTTTGTTTTGAGCTGAATTAGACAGTCAGCTTTCTATAATTTAGCTTAAGAGAAATCTCATTTTCATAGTTTTTTGTTTTATTAAAGATTTTATTGGGGAATTGGGGGAGGGGAACAGCATTGGGGAATCGGGGGAAGGGGAACAGACAAGTTGCTGTCCTTTTGTTCTTCAGTCTAGTTGTGGAGGACGT